ATTTCGCACCTAGTCCGGAACAAAAGTTTTGCCCATTTTTGATCCTCTAACCAATGGTATATGTTTTTGCATACGTTTCGGAATCACCCTGTATATTTATATTCTATCTCCGTATTTTTATTCACCCTGTATTTCAAATTGAAAATTAATTGCAACTCAACTTCCATTGCACATATGAGAACAAGTTCCGGAAACTGAATTAATACGAGTATTTCCAAAAATAGCTTTCATCGCTAAAATAAGCAAAAAATTTTTTATGCATTTTTCATAAATTTTTTTGTTTTTGACAAAATTAAATTTAATATGGTCGTTTTGTTATAGAAAAAAAGTCATACTTTTACACTCACTAATTAAATAAAAATTTTATTACAAACTCCAACGAGAAGCAAAAATTAAAATTTCATTGGAAAATCATATTAAAAATTTCCATATATTTTTCCATTTCTCAAAAATTTCTGTCACAAAATTTTTATTGAAATTTTCTTCCAAAATTTGTTGTCATTTTAAATGGAAATTTTCATTTATGGAAAAATTCAACAACTACCAGAAAAAAAATTGTTGTAACTAATAAAAGTCATCATGAAAATTAATTCAAAAATAGAAATAATAAAATATAAGAGAAGATAAAAATTCACGAAAATTTTTAACAAACTCCTCGCATACACCGGAAAAAAATTCAATTGAATTTCCTTTTAAAATTTTGTTTTTCGTTTTTGTTTTTGCCTTAATGTTATTATTAAGGCTTTTCTTATGAACCTCTAATGATATTTTTATAGTGTTTGCTTTTTTAATATTTTTCTCTCTCTCTCTATATTTTTGCTGAATTTTCTTCACAAATTAAATTAGATTAGCTTTAGTCCAACCCTCAAAATGGATACAATGTCCTTTTTTTTTTCTTACATATTTTTTTTTGTTTTTGTGTTCTCTTCTTATATACCATCTTTTATTAGTTTCTTATTTTGTTGTTATTAAAGAAAATAAACTATTTAGCATATAGCCGCCTATATATTTGTTTGTGTGTTTGTATGTGTACTTACTTTGGCTACATAGATAATTTAAATTTCTAATTTATTGCTTTCGGCCAACTTGTTTTTTTTTTCTATTCCATAAACAGTCAATTAACATTAATTTTCATAAAAAAAATGTTATGTAATATTAAAATAAAATAGCAAAGACAAGAAGAAAAAAAAATTATTACAAACTTTTGTATAAATTTTATTTTTTAACTAAAAATAAACACAAACAAACAAACAAAAAAAAATTATTAAAAAAAAAAAGCAAAAATTTAATTTTTTCCAGCTTCTTTTCAACTTCTATGAAATTATTTATACACTTAACTTTTATTATGTAAAAGGACTTTTCAAAAATAATTTTGATAGCAATATTCCAAAAAAAATAAAAAACAAAAAATAAATATTAATAATTTAATTAAGAATACTGGCTTTCTGGGTCCTACTGGCTTTCATATAATCTTGTGAACTATGTGTATATGTGTATGTAGGTATACGAAATTCTCTATGTCTATATTGTGCTGAATGTGGGGTATTTAACAATAATTATTATTAAATTTAATTCGCTAAGTGCTAATGTACATAAAATAGTGAGGGTTTATTTATAGCTTTAGGAAATACAAGAATATTTCATTTGATTATTAAGATCATTCGAGCTTATAATACACTTAGAACAAGTAGAAACAAATATTCATATCTGTCGTCATTTTAAGACAAGCTACAAACATTTTCTTTGTTGTTGCTTAATTTTAAAATTATATTTGAATTGGAACTCTGTAAATTGAGTTAAACTCAGACATTCTGTCTGAAAATTAGTTTTAATAATTGCTAATGCATTGACTATTAATAAGAGCTTCTTCCTGAGATTTTGTCAATTTTAACATTATAAAGTGAGACCTAATCATTGTCTTCTATAGAATCAATCAGAAAAATAATGAAAATTTTAATAATATTTCCATTCAATGGAATTCAATGATCAATCCTTAAAAATAATCGAAAAGATTTCCAAACAAATCTCCCTTTAAAAATCATTCTCTACTTGGTATTTAAAATCAAATTAAATAATCACAATATACAAAAGAAAAACTATATCCTTTGGTTTAATAAAAACAATAGCACTTCTCAGAAATTCAAGAACACTTTTAATAAAAGCTTACGAAAATTAAGAAATTAAATTGACATCAAAAAACAAGAAATTAAAATTGACAATGAAATCCTCACCTTTAGAATATCACAATATCTGTACCTGTACCCCTTATATCCTTAACAATAAATTTTATCCTTCCTATTGTAAGGACTTTAATTTTTTGTTTTCTTTGTCATTTCTGTTTATACGCACTTTTACATTAAATTGATTTTAATTATTTAACTAATGGGGAAACAATAAAATTGAGATGGTGGTCATAGGATTAAGGGTAAAAATAAACCAACCAGATATTGGTAAAATTATATAAGTAAATAAATAAAGTCAAAGAAATTCAATTTGTGGAAGAAAATTAAAAAAAAAGTCATTTTCATTAACACAAACACAATTTTTTTGTCTTTTGTATTCAACAAAAGATTAAAATAAATTAAGCGATTTTTTTTTTGACATAACAATTAAATTTTTTAATTTAACAAATTTAATTTTTGAACAATCAAAAGAATTTTCTTGTCTGTTTATTTTCTCTTTGATGTCTGCGCTTTAAATCTGTTTAAGATTAACAAAAAAAAAAAAATTTCTTTTGCTTTTGTCTTGAAAAACAATAAGAAACGATAAGAACGTGAATTGATTAGAAATTTCCAAAAAATTACAAGTTAAATTTTTTTAAAAGGACACAAAAAAAAATTTTTTGTAAATTAAAGGATAAAACGTTAATCTTAACAGAATCTTAAGCTTTGTGATTTGAACTTCAATAAATATGCCAGATGTACCCGTAAAACCAATTATTTATTTCCAGACATAATAATTTAAAACCAATTTTAATTGGAAGAGGAAAATTAAATTTCTTGGTGTAGTGTGACGATAAATAAAAGGGAGAAAATTTAAAATTACAAAAGATTAAAAAATTTATCTGATGAAAATTTATTAAACAAACAAAATTAACATTTAATGGCAAGTATTGCAATAAATTGGTCTAGAAAGTGTAAGCTTTTGTAGATTTTGTGAGGAAGATGAGGAAGCCTCAGTTCATCTGCTGGGAGATTGTGAGCCCACACCTTCAAAAAAAGAATATATTAAGGAACTACTCGCTTATTACGAGCTACAGTTTTTCCGAACCTTTGAAATTACTCCAATTCATCAGACTTAAACGAGGTGTTGTAAAGCTTTGTTTTACAAATAGTGAGGTGGAACTCAGAGTTCACTGTGATATCTATCTATATTTTAGCTTAAACGACATAGAAGGGCAAATCAGTGTAAGCATTGATGATAATTAAAATAAAAATTTTAAAAACTTTATCATAGACACAAATCATTCATATATAAGATGTGAATTTGGTTTGTGTTTACAATTATAACATTAATCTTTCAGGGTAATGCCAAAAATCCCTTAGTGATTCGCATTTAACAGTAAGAAATCATTGCCTTATTTTGAATATTAAATCACTAAGTGAAACTGATAATTGTCATAAAAAGTGTGATATTGTTATTGTAAACACAAACCAATTTATACAAATGATCGGTGTTTATGATAAAGTTTATGATACTTTTTCGTTCAATATTTTAATAAATTTCACTTTACTATGTTTGAAAAACAGATTTAAATAAGATTACAGTTGAACTTGGTTAAGACGATAACATGGGAAGAATGTCTGGGTATTCATAGAAAAATTTCAATTAAATAATTTTGCAAGTGGAATTTTCTAATATTTTTTTATTAATCAATAAAGAATAACTAAATTAGTAGAAAAAGTACCCATTGAATTCGGAGTATGACATATGATGGTAATATATTGGAGCAAATATTACGATTTCGGAAATGTTGTGGAATTTGTGACGAATACCAGATACAGCTGTTCACACTTAATGCTGTTTACGACTCTTACAATATAAAAAGTTTCGGAAACCATAATTGGGTTTTCATTCCTTTTAGGTACAATAAAAATTTGAATTTCTGTTCCAATAAAATTTTTATTATTCTTTATGTTTGCCAACTATATATGAATAAAACTTAAATTGTTAAAGTTGTTACCTAAAGTTGGCAAACTCAACTTTTTATTTTCATTTATTTTTTTTTTTTTAATTAAAACAATTTTAATTTACATATTATGTATACAGTATACAACATATACACACGTTATTCATCCTACATAAAATTTATATACATATGGACATGTTATAGAATTTGCATACCACAACTACATATATAGAAATTTACAAGTTGTACATAATAAACTTTTAACATTATCGTTTTCATATTATAACAGAAAAATAAAAAATATTGAGGAAAAAAATACAGAAACCAAATCAAACTAACAAAGTTCTTATTTTTACATATTAGAAAAGTTTGTTATTAACTTGAAGTTTTCATGTGTTTTTCTCTCATATTTATAACATACTTTTAACGTAGATATGTGGGTAATTATTGTTGAATAGTTTGCATATAATAATGGTTTGTTGAGGAAAAATATATTAGACAATAAAAATCATATAATTTTAACACATACTGTCACACTATAAATCATTTTCATACCAATGCCATGCCAATGAAGTTTTGTATGATGGACAGAATATTTTGTATGAGGGACGGAATGAAATACAGTATTTTCTCTCATTTGATTTGCTTGTCGTTCTCTCACTTATTTTTTTTTATTAGTAGTTATGGTTAATTAAAAGCGTTGTTAGCTATACTCGAAATAAGTTTTCAAATTAATTAAATTTTGAGAGATTCTCCAAAATTTTCACACTATTAATAATTTATTTTTGGTTTTCAAAACAGATAAGTTTTAAACATTATTTTGAATTCAAAAACTTTCCAATTAATTTCGACAGTAATTAAATTGTTATACCTTTTCTCCAACAGGGGCGATGTTTGCGTCTGAAATAGAAAAAATAGAAAATTCTTAATTAAATATAATTTTTTTTAATTGAATAGTTAATAATAATTTAATTTATAGTTAATAATAATTTTATTTTGTTTTTATTAAGAGGGCTTTAATCAGCTCATAATTTTATAAGAGTAAAAATTGAGTTTCGAATATTTTCGAAGTTTATTTGCATAATATGCAGCTATGTAAAAGTGCCTTCATTATTATGAAACTGAAAATTGCTATTTTAGGTTCACGCAAAACGCAAAATTCTCTTAATATGAATTTCAAAATTTAATTTTCTTTATTAATAATGGAAATTAAATTTTAAATTTATTCCACAATTGATTTTTAATTGCAATTCATATTATAATTTATTTATTCGATACGAGTACGATTGAAATGGTTAATCTTGAATACTTATATTTTATTTATAGAAAGACAAAACAATTAATAATTATTGAAATGCAAGATCTCTGAAAATTTTTGGAAAATAATTAATTATTATAATTAAAAAAAATTCTGATTCTCTAGAATTGAAGTAATAAATTTAGTTTTAAATTAATTTTATTAAATCCGATTTCAAAAGAAAAGTTTTTATTGCCACAATTTACTGGGGAAAATTTTTAAGTCTTATTGCGCAGAGCTACTCTATAAAAACTGTTTTTTTCGAGGAAGATTCTAAAGGAACATTATTTCGAAATTTAATAAAATTGATAATATTATTTGAGGTCTTTGAGAATAATTATTTGCTGCCATAAAAAGCTAAGGAACTTAAAGAAAATAATTTTGGAACCAAAATACTTTGTAACATTGTGCATTCAAATTTATTTCTAGTATTGAGTCGCATAGGTACTAACGATTTTTGGAATTTCTTTCCTTCAAAGCAATCATTAACATTATAGTTATAGACCTTACATTTGTGTGTAGGTTATTACTGTTAAATTAATCTACAGGGAAGAATATTCTCAATCAAACATGTTGTATAGTATTGTATGAACAAAATTTGAAGATGAACATGTCTTTTTAAAATCCTTGAACTTCTCATCTTCAAATTTAATTAAGCGTTCTATTGTTAAGTGAAAATTCGAAAATAGTGTTCAATTCCATGCAAACAATATTGCTACAATTCTGCTTCAAACAAATTTTTAATAAATGGACGAACTGTTAAAAATCAAATACAAATTTTGATTTGTAATAAAGAGAAAAAAAGCATTAAACAAAATAATTTTCCGGGAAAATATAAAAGAGAATTTTTATTTTCTCTTTTGTTTTTACGGTAAAATATTTTCACAGAAATTTTTTACGGTTGACTTTTTTATCAGTCTAATTAAGCTCTGCTTTAGCGTAACAACAAAGAAAAAAACAAAATGTTTCCTTTTTCAGTGTCTCTTTTTACGTTTGCTTACATCGTGTCCTTTATATAAAAGGTCCTTTTGTCTTTTTTTTCTGTCCTCTCTTTTTATTTTTCATATTCATTTTTAAATACATATAACTTAAAAACATACTCTTTTATCGCCATCTGGTCCTTAAAATTCGCAACAAAGAGAAAAATAACAGAAAATATGAAAATCATAAAATGAAAAAGTGGAAGAAAAAACAAAATTATTCGAGTGTTAAAGGCCATACGACCTTTAAACGCTTCCCATTACATTTTCTATTTTAAATACTATGGCCAACATTAAACCGGAGTATGAGAGAAGAAATTTAAAATAAATATAACTTTTTTACTTTGTTTGGAACGTAAAACAAAAATTTTATAATTTTTGGCGCATTTAAAAGAAAATTTTTTGCAATTGTGAAAATTTATTTGAAAAATTTTTATTTTGGCTTTTTCTTATCATTTTTTACATTATTGTTTATTTGCGCTCAAAGATATTTTATGATATGAAAAATAAAAGAACAGAAATAGAAAATTCAAAATTAATAAAATAATTAAAAATTTTTATACTCAAACGGTAGAATAAAAAAAAGAGCAAGAAAAAAATTGCAAAAAAAAAATAATTACAGATGGCGTTGATTAACAATCTTTTTATTTATGAAACGTCAAAATGTTGTTTATTTATTGTACCTTTGTGCAATGGCAACTGTAATTATTGCTTGATAAAATTCCTGATCGTATTTTAAGTTACCCTAAGGCATGACATGTGTTCTTTTTTTTCCACATTTCCTACATTAAATTGTAAAAATATTTAAAAACAAAACGTTTTTGTGTTGGGCATTTTTTGTCCATGTTATTCAATTTTTTTGTACAATTATGCAAAATCAAGCAGCTTAATTGCGTTTGAATTGTATAAATTGTTTATTTTACAAATATATTGAAGCTTATGAATTTTTTATAGGATTAAAAATTGCCCTAGCGATTCCCTGCTGTAATAGTCGTTTTAACTCCTTGACTCACATACGCGGCAGGGAAAGCGATTCGTAGAAGTCCATGAATAAAATTGCTAAGAATGCACCACGAAGCGAAGAATTACGAATAGTTACGCAAGAATAGACGGTTATTGTACAGTGATTTTTATAGTGGACTGCAGTGATGAACATTCTGCAGTCCACTATATTGAGAAACCAAGAAGCTAACAAGTCCCCATTTTTTGCATTTAGGATCATTTCATGACTCTTCAGTATTACAACGCTCCTTATCTTTAGTAAGAATCACAGGCCTCACATCACTCGGACGTATCAAAATTTTTAGTTATTCCCGCTTGCACTGAACTACTTCTTATGTCTTTGATTGACTGTATAAATTCAAATCTTAACTGAGTTCTCAAATCAATACAATAAAAGTGAATTAATTTCAAAAATTGAATGAATTTTTTAGATTAGAAAAATTAATTTTAATTACAAAAATTTTTTCTTAGATACCTTAAAGCTATAACTTGCCATACCGTTCTCATTTCTTTTTTTTTTAAAGAAAAAAATTATCTTTTAAATTTTTTTATTATTAGAAATATTTCAAATTCATCATCCTCCTACATTTACAATTTTTCTTCATAATAAAGTAAAATAATGCTTCCAACATTTTTCTCTCCAAAAAGATTATTATTTTTGCTTATGTTTCCTTACTTGCTCTAGCTGTTATTATTAAATGCCACATTCATCACATGAAAATCTTAAGAATTTGTTTTCTTTTATCATTTCTAAGCAAAAAGTAGAACAAAAACAAAAAATCCATTTATTTATAAGCAAATATTCGTCAAATATAAAACTTTCTAAATTAGGCAATTTCTTTTATTCTTCTCTTAAATTCTTTATCTTTTTTTGTTCCTGCGTTTTTACCTAAGGGAAAATAAAAAACCATTAGGATTTTAACCTCCTTTATTATTTAAATTATAGAAAAACCTTAAAATTGCCTGTCACTGGAAAACAAAAGCAGACAACAAAAATTTGTATTCATTTTTTGTGTGTTGCTGCTCCTATTGAGCTTGAATCAAATAGTTTCCGTTTTCACTCCCCCTCCTTAAATCTCAGTACAAAGTAAAAAGTATAATAAGCTGATTATAAAAATGCCATCGTCATTACTATAAGTAACAATTTTGTAAGGACGTCTAAAAATCAAAATAAAATTAATTTTCTCTTTCGGAAGCAAAACAAACAAAAGTGCAGGTGAGTTGAGTGAATTTTCACCAAAGTATAATAAAAAAAAGGAAATTACCTCTGTGAATCACTTTTGCTTATGCAAAAGAAAAGGTTTATAGTCATAAACAACAAAGAGAACCAAACAAAAAGAATGCCAACAAAGAATAGAAATTAAAATTTTTTCATCGCATTGTCCATGAATTTTTGTCAACAAAATATGTTTGGCATCCTTGAGGCGTCAATAAACTTTTTCATCTTCACATTTTTTAATGAATTTTTGAACGAATTTTAATTTTTATTTCTTTTCTTCAATTTTCAAATGATAAAACTAAAATTCTATTTAGCAAAATATAGTTCGTCTAGCCAATGTAGAGCTTATTGTCGCCAACAGTGAAATTTATTTGAGTTAAGAGAAATAAAGAACTGCTGAAAATTGCAATTTGAAAACTAACTTTTAAAATATATTTGTAAAATTACTTGTATACCATAAATAACAGTCAATTGATAATAAATTAAAGTAATAATAGGAATGAAAACTTGATATCCAGCCAAGTATGCCGACTTTATATAGTTGGAATTCTTGTATAACAGATATGTTTAAAATTTTCCGTATTAAAATTGAAATAGAAATAAGATTCTTTGGAGGAATTTCGAACTTAAATGTAATCTTAAATTTTGCTTGGAAAATGAAAAAAAAAAAAATACATAAACAAAAACTTAAAATTATTAAAAATGAATTTTCATAATAATAAAAAATTGCATACTTCCAGGGGAACTTAATTTTCAACAACCTATAATCCACGTGAAAAGGATGCACAGAATGCAGACTGAGCCATACATTCTCTGTTTAAAAAAAGAGCGGAGTATCTATTATACGAATGTGAGGCTGTTGCACTTTCAAGAATGAATTGATTTGTAGAGGGAGACGCAATTACCGTATTTTAATGTTATTTTAACGGTTCTTGTTCTCAAACACTTCTATAATATAAAAAATATTTACTATTTCATTAAAATCAAATTACGTAAGCGTATTTTTCAGAGGAAAAAGCATTTTGTTCCAATCTAAAACATAAAATATTATCTAGGCTATTTACGATGAAATATGAAATCATTTACAAATTATATTCGTTTTCTAAACATGTTCCTTAAGGGAAAATCTTAACATTTTGTTTTTTTTTTTTCAGAATTAATAAAAATTTTAATATAAAAATTATTATTCACTTAAAGGTCCATAAAATACATTGGAAATTAAGATTTTTTTGTTCAACTTCACATTTAATTCTTAGCTGATTTCTTACTCTGATTGGTTGAGACAAATGTTAAGAAAAAAAAACATTTTACAGACGTACGATGTAAGTATATTTTTCTTTTAATACGCAGCCCAGATGTCAAGAAATAAATTAATTTTTATTTTCATGTTTATAACAATTCT